ACTAAAACGTTTCCCACAATCAGGACATTCAAAGGGTTTTTCTCCTGTGTGAGTCCTCTGGTGTGTCAACAGAATGGAACTCTGACTAAAACGTTTCCCACAATCAGGACATTCAAAGGGTTTTTCTCCTGTGTGAGTCCTCTGGTGTGTCACCAGGATGGAACTCTGACTAAAACATTTCCCACAATCAGGACATTCAAAGGGTTTCTCTCCTGTGTGAGTCCTCTGGTGTTTCACCAGAGTGGAATTATCACTAAAGCTTTTCCCACAGATAGGACATTCAAAGGGTTTTTCTCCTGTGTGAGTCCTCTGGTGTATCACCAGAATAGAACTCTGACTAAAACCTTTCCCACAATCAGGACATTCAAAGGGTTTTTCTCCTGTGTGAGTCCTCTGGTGTGTCACCAGGATGGAATTCTGACTAAAACATTTCCCACAATCACGACATTCAAAGGGTTTCTCTCCTGTGTGAGTCCTCTGATGTGTCACCAGGTTGGAATTCTGACTGAAACGTTTCCCACAATCAGGACATACAAAGGGTTTCTCTCGTGTGTGAGTCCTCTGGTGTGTCACCAGAGTGGAATTATCACTAAAGCTTTTCCCACAGATAGGACATTCAAAGGGTTTTTCTCCTGTGTGAGTCCTCTGGTGTATCACCAGGTGGGCATTTCGACTGAAACTTTTCCCACAATCAGGACATTCAAAGGATTTCTCTCCTGTGTGAGTCCACTGGTGTTTCACCAGGATGGAACTCTGACTAAAATCTTTCCCACAATCAGGACATTCAAAGGGTTTTCCCCCTGTGTGAGTCCTCTGATGTGTCACCAGGATGGAACTCTGACTAAAACATTTCCCACAATCACGACATTCAAAGGGTTTCTCTCCTGTGTGAGTCCTCTGGTGTGTCACCAGGATGGAACTCCGACTAAAACATTTCCCACAATCACGACATTCAAAGTGTTTCTCTCCTGTGTGAGTCCTCTGGTGGGTCACCAGGATGGAACTCCGACTAAAACATTTCCCACAATCATGACATTCAAAGGGTTTCTCTCCTGTGTGAGTCCTCTGATGTGTCACCAGGTTGGAACTCCGACTAAAACATTTCCCACAATCACGACATTCAAAGGGTTTCTCTCCTGTGTGAGTCCTCTGGTGTTTCATCAGGCTGGAATTATCACTAAAGCTTTTCCCACAGATAGGACATTCGAAGGGTTTCTCTCCTGTATGAGTCCTCTGGTGTATTACCAGGTGCGCATTTCGACTGAAACTTTTCCCACACTCAGGACATTCAAAGGATTTCTCTCCTGTGTGAATCCTTTGGTGGCTAACCAACCTGGAACTCAGATTAAAACCTTTCCCACAGTAAGGACGTTCAATGGGTTTCTCTCTTTTGTGAGTCTTCTGGTGTTTCACCAGATTAGAATTATCACTACATCTTTTCCCACATTCAGGACATTCAAAGGGTTTCTCTCCTGTGTGCGTGGTCTTATGTCTCAAGAGGTGGGAATTACTAATGAAACTTTTCCCACAATCTCTACACTTACAAGGTTTCTCCATGGAGTGAATCCTCTGATGTATTACCAGGCGGAAATTACAATTGAAACTTCTCCCACAGTCTGGACACTGAATGGGTTTTTCTCAATTATGAGTCCCCTGGTGGATCACCAAGATGAAAATATTAACTGAAGGTTTTCCGACAATCAGGGCATTCAATGTATGTGAGTCTTCGGGTGTATCACATTGCTAGAATTGTGAGTTTCCCATAATCAGGACATTCAAAGGGTGTTTCTTCTGTGCGAGTTCTCTGGTGTCTCTTGAGATGGAAATTTCTAATGATGTTTTCCCCACAATCTAGATACTCATAGAGTTTCTCCCTGGAGTCAATCTACTGGTGCATCATCACCAGACCTAAATTGTGACTATTTTCCCCCCCACAATCAGGACATTCAAAGGGTTTCCCTTTTGTGGGAGTCCTCAGGTGCTTCACCCGGAAGGAATTCTCACTGAACCTTTTCCCACTGAAAGGATGTTCAAATGTTTTATTCCTTTGTGTGCATCCTTTAGTGT